TCAACTGATTTTGAACATTCCTTTGCACAGTCACATTTAAATAAACAGAGCACCCATTTGACTTTCATGTTGGCCTAAATGCTTCTGACATATATGTGCAAATCTTTGCCTCAAAATAAGACTTAAAATAAGGTTCTCTTCACCTGAATTCAGTGTATTCCCTGGAGGGAATTGTTTTCTGATTGATGAGAATAACATGTTAAAAAAATAAAATAAAATAAATAAAGCTAATGCATTTAACCAGTTTTTATCAGGTTTTTTTTTCTTTAGCAATTTCACTGTTTTGTTAATTTGCAGATAATAGTAAATAAAAAAGCTGTGAGAAAAACAAGGTAATATATAGCCAATGTATATCATGGCTTCATTAAATATTTAAAAAACAGTTTTTGAAATGGTGATTTGCTCTTTTGCAATGTTTTATCTGTAAAATGACACGATGTTTATTATATTTAAATCTGCTTTTAAAAAAAGGAAATTAATTTTAGGGACATTTGCTGTTATTTGAGCTTATTTGAGGACAAAAATGAATTTACACATCAACTGTCAAATAAAAAAAAGAAAAAAAAGCCAAGACTACATGCTTTTCACATGAAAATGCAGTATTTTACAAACAATAATTTGTTCTTTTGTACAAGGTGAAATTACACAGTTTTACTTTATTGAAATCAGGTTAAATAAATAAATAAATAATATTTTACAGATATTTAAAGGTTTAGAATGTTGCAGTATTCTACATATTGCCAGGATTTCCCCCTTTTTTTTTTTTTTAACTGATTTTTTTTCTCTTTTTTGACAGTGGTTAAATCGTATTTGACCAATTGTGCACTTAAATGTTGCGAGCTATCCGTGATGTTCACTCTGTTGCAGGGATACTGTGTGTTCAAACAACAAACACTTATGCCTCACCACGTCTCACCGACACTACAATTTGTCAGTGTTCCGTTAATGCCTCATGTGCAGACTTTGGTAGATGCTAGTTAGGAAGCTGTGCACAGAAAAGCCTCCTGTCTCCCTCCTTAGTTACTGCAGCATACACAACTCAGACAGGTGTGTGACCAAAAAATTTTAAAAAGAGTGAAACAAGGTGTAAGATTTACTGAAGCTGAAACCAAAGTGATTTTATCTGCATGGGCTGTTTTCTATGAGGGAAGTTTTCTTTGAGCAGTGCACACATTTTAGACATCAATATCTCAGTCAATTGTGTTCATTTAACTGCAATAAACCAAAATGACCGTAATCACGGTTAATATTCAACTAATTTGGATGCTCTATCATTTTAGCAGCATTTTGGCCATAACCAAGAAAATTCAGTTGCCTGAACATATCTGAACCACAGGGGTGCCAGATCAGACAGCACTCAAGAGTCCTGCTGGTATGGAGGGCACTGACCCCTTTGGTCATTTAGAGAGGACGATTTCTTGTCCTGATTTTGCTGAAGTGCTCACAGGTACTCCCAAATTTTCACAGCTTTTGAAGCTGAATTTTAAACTGTGAGGAGACATCAAAAGTAATTAGACAACAATGGATAATGCTGATATTTTACTATAGTTTTCTTACTTTTATCAAAATAAACAGAAATTTTAAAAAAATCAACACTGCACCCTATTGACAGGCGTCTGCGTCAATGCTATAGGCATTTCTCTAATATGATGATGAACCTGTGCACTTTAGTTTTATTTTTAGTTGATCCATCTACACTGTCCTGCTGCTGCAAATACTGCAACTGAAAACCTAAATAAATAATAATAAAAAAAATTTCTATTCACTTATCTATAAGTAACATTTGTTTAAAGCTACTGCTGTTTTGTATTTGTGGTTTTAAAGATCAGTTGCTGGGGACGTTTAAATTCAGTTTTAAAGATTTGGGGGGAAAAAAATGTAAAATGTTATTCAGAGCTTAAACTTACAGGAAATACAGTAAACAGTGGAAAATAAGGTTAGCATTAAAAATCTTTTTTTCTTTTTTTTAACTTTATGTATTAGTGCTTTGGGTTAGTCTGGTGACGTTTTGTGTGCCAGATGTAAATTTAGAAAGTGTTTTGGAAGTTTCTGTAAGATACAGTCACTTTGCCAGTGGTTTGAGTCCTGACTTCATTCAACACAGATGGTCGAAATTCTGCTTTTTGACAGTTTCACAGCAGGGTGTCACTCTGCATCAAAATTCTAGTTATGATCACTTGTGTTTTAATAATTTACTCAATCCACTAACTATTGTTGAAGACTCAGTGAATGAGGGACAGTGTTTCGGCTGCCCTTTGGGCTAAATTGGCTTTTCCTTATTGGTCCACATCTCTGCAAATGTCACTGCACAAAGATAAAAGTCTTCTCGAGATCACTGCCCTCCCACTTAACCAGTGCTGACCCCTCGAACAAAACCTGGCAGACTTTTAATTACCGTGCGAAAGAGAAGACAGAGTCTTAGAAAAATATCAAGCACATTATTTTCACCCAGACATCTCTCAGTCTGACACGATCAATAGTGCCCTCTGTCTGTATGAACACGCTCTTTTAATCAAAATGAAAAGTGTTGGTTTGATCCAAGGTCACGGTCCCCATTTAATTTATTAAATTTATTTATACAGTATCATTTATTTATTTTTTTATTATGTTAATGTGACTCCTTATTTAGTACAGAGGAAGCAAGGATAGTGTGTGAAAGCAAATACGCAAGACACCAACAAATATAATGCAGTTGTATACAAAACCTGAAACGACTATGAAAGGGTCTTCATTTTAAACCTTTTTCTAAAGATCTGAATTTTTTCTAAATTACATTTAAATGAGACATAATCAACCTGACAAACAACATGTTCTTTATTAGTTGCCAGATTTTCTTTATTACATTCACATGCTTTTGGTGGAGAGCCTTTCCATTTGACTGTATTGATCTGCTTTTATTTCTTTGCTTTAATGCCTAAATATGTTATCCTATGTTATACTATTACTTTATTTTGTTTGCTTGTTTTCTTTATGATATAGGTTTAAAAAAGTGCTCTAGAGATTATTTTTATTTGTAGTAGTAGTAGTATTACCCTAGTGAGGATTAAGCGGTGTATAGATTATTGTTGTTGTTGTTGTTGTTGTTGTTGTCATGAGTGAACCCTCCCTAATATTGCTGCTTTTTGTTCACTAACTCGTTTGCAAGGCTGGCAAATTATTGCAGAATAACAAGAAAAAATTATATTGTTTTACCAAAAACACAACAAAAAAGGTCCAGAAATGCAACTTTACAAGTCACGGTAAAGCTGCAAACCTTCCTGGCAACATTACTATCAAAGACTTGGAGGAGGAAATAATGAGAGCAGGAACAAGATGTCGGTGCAGACTATAAGAAGAACATTAAAACATGCAAGGACCTTATCAAAGAAGGAAAAATCTGGACTATGTCTTTGTTTAATGAACACAAAGGAAAAATCACAGGGTGGACAAAGTGCTCTATGGAGTCAACTGGCACAATGACTGCAGTCAAGAAGAAAAAAACCCAAGGCGCTCTTGTCTTGAAATGTAATGACAAAAGGGCTTTCATATTTCATGGCTAATGCATTTCAGTTGGAAGCCTTCATCGGGGTTTTGAAATAAAATGCAAACACAGTAACATAAGACATGACACCAGTGATATATAGGTGTGTTACTGGAAAGGAGGCCAAGCAACAGAATTCACGTGGGAGATCAAAACTGTGAACATGTAACAGATCTTGTAGACTGTCTGTCCTCACAGTGAAATGTGCAAGAATCAAAATACAAAGACCACAAAAGTACTTCAAGCATGCGAGGACTGCATGCTGGGAAACTTTACTGCCCACTATTCTTGACCCAAAGAACATAAAAGCTGACTTAAATGCAGAAGAAAGAAATTGGATAGCCATGTAGGTTTCTGGGAGTCGACTTTATGGGGTGATGGTGCTAAACTGGAATTGTTTGGAGCCGTAAATTAGCAGTGTGTCTGGTGTAAGAAGGGCAAGACTTGTATGAAAGGAAAAGCATCATTTCTTCAGTCAGAGGCCTGTCCTGCTGTTGGTGAACTGCTTAACCTGTAGCTGGCATCATGGATTCCTTCTGACTTCAGGCCATTTTGAAGATGAATGTGATGTCACTGGGCTTTCCAGAAAGCCAGCGATCCAAAGCAAACATGCAGTCAACCAAATATAGGTTCAGGAATCATTCCTGGAACGTCCTTGAGTGGCCATCTGACTCCTCAGAATTGATTTTCATTGAAAATTCCGAAAGAGAGGTTTCAGAAGTATCCTATATGACAGATTTAAATTATGGACCTTTTTGGATACCATTGTACTTATATTTGTTGAAATATCTTATCAGTACAATTTTGATGGCAACTGTGCTATAGGTACCAGTTTTTTGTTCTTGTAATCCATCATGGTAGAGGTAGGTATTTACATGCTTAATGGAATTCAAAAAGAATTGAGTTAAGTACTGTATGCCAGAGATGTAATTAAAAAAAACAACAACAACAATTAGCAGCATAATACATTAATTACATTTTTTTGAATGCACTTTCACAATTTAGAAACTTTCAATGCAAATAGATGAATGGATGCATCTTTTAATTTTCAATCTAACTGGAGTAATTAATGCACACTTGAATCAAGGATTTGTTTTATGTATGGGCTGTTTGTAAGGTTTGTGCACTGAAATTGATTTCCCACTTGAGCATCTTGTGTGAACACCAGCATTCTTCTGTCTCTCAGTGTTTTTCTTACATAGTGGGTGTTGAAGGTGCTGGCAGGTTGCTTTTGTGTTTGTAATTGTCAGTTGTCGACACATTTGGAGAAGATTCCTTTCTTTGTGCTCTTTGCCGAACCTGCGTTACAGACAGATGACAGAGTCCAGCGCCCAGATGAAGCTTTTGCTTTGAGAATTGTTAACGCTCATAAGATGATGCAAACATAGCGACATACTGTGTGCAAAAACAGAATTAGCTAAATTTCCGTGCGAGTGTTTGATATCCCGTCAGCTGACATGTGTCCTCCATGTTATGACAGATGCCATGTTGCTGGTGGCAGACAGACTGGAGGGACCCTTCAACATCGAAGCAGTCATCGAGCCAATTGACATCAAGATCTCTGAAGCTATCATGACCATGCAGGACAACAGCATGCAAGTGTCAGCCAAGGTAAAGCATCCTGACGTGTCTTTGCATTTGGTTTCTGATATGTTGTATCTTCTTAGTGAAAACATAATATATAGGAACAAATCTGACTGAATTATTTGTATTTTTACGTTTTTATTTTATTAATTAGTGAAAAACATATAACGCACGTCTACTATCAAACTGACAAAATAATGAGCATAATATTTGAGTTTTATGAGTCAACATCAACATGTTGATTGCTTATTGCAACAATTTATTCTTTATCCATCTAAATTCTCATGACAAGGATAAAAATGTTGTTGATACAGTATATATTTGGTCTCCTAAAGATCAAATTTGTTATTCAAAAACAAAGGTCTTAAAGTGAATGTACCACACACCACTGTAAGCTTTTCCTCAACATTAAGATAATCACACTCAACATACAGTCATCCTCAAATGTATTCATACCCTCTCATTAAAGAAGTAAAAAATAAACAGCTGTCACTGAAATAAGCTGAAATTGACAAAAGTAGTAATAAATAAAAATGTAATTAAAATCATGACATTGCTTTTCAATTGTGATTCCACAGAAATATATATTTAAAAAAAAAAAAACAATGGGAAAACAAAACAAAACAAAAAAACAAGCAAACAATATTTTGTTGAACAACCCTTTGAGCCAATCACTGCAGTCAAGTGTTTTCTGTAACTCTCAGTCAGACTTCTGCACCTGTTGACAGGTATTTTGATTTTGGCCTACTGCTCATCAGCAAAGTGCTCTAATTTGTCTGGGACAGTTTGGTTTTTGTTTCTTTTAAAGATTCTTTTTAACCACAATTTAAAAGCAATGTCTTATTTCACTAAATTATGATTTAGCATTTTTTTTATTTGTTATTGCTTTTTCAGTTTCTAGTTATTTGAGTGACTATTGTGTATTTTGCCTTTTCTTCAATGAAAGGGTATGAATAAATTTGGGGACGACTGTATGGCTGCGTCCTTATTGTCCAGATGACTTTTTCACTACATACCAAAACCACAATGTATAAAAAAAAAAAACCTTAATCAAAGTGCTGTGAACTTTGGAGGTGTAAAACAAGAACTCTGGTCTTCACATTACTTCTGAAATGTATTTGGCAAACCGTTCAGTGGTTTATAAAGGAGATTTTAGGAGACACTTTAACATGCAAGAGAAGCAGCTAATTTCCTCTTTATCCTCTTCAGAGTTCAAATGGCCAAATTAGTCTTTAGAATATTTTCAATATGAAGTAGCTCTCAGGTTATTAGTACACTGAAAATATTTTTTTTTTACTTACTTCCTTGTCAAAAGACAGCTTCTTTCCTTCAGCTCTTCATTCTTATCATATGGCGCACTGTGGCCTATCTTCATGCCAGAGTTAAAAAGGTCAGCGTGAATTAGATGTCACATTCTTTCCCGTATCAAGAGGGCCGCAATGTCCAACTTAACTCAATGTCTATGCACTTGATGCCTCAATTCCGCAAGGTGGTGCTTGGCTGATAGATTGGTCTGAGATTACAGCCTCTCTTCACATTCACATTTTTACCGTGTGTAGTCATTCCCCCAACCTCTGTGAAATATATCAAGCCACATCGCGTTGTACCTTCATTACTGCTGTGCCGACCTGTTGAAAATCACTTTGCTTGTGCGATGTGCAAGATATTGAAACTGTAATCACGGTGAGGAATTGATAAATATTAGAGAAAAGACATCCTCTTGTCATGACAGCCGAGCAGCACATTAGAGTGCTCCATCACATCCTGAGCCAGGGGCCAGCAGAGAGGCCAGAGAGGAATGCTAATGAGCTGTGGCGTTTTGTGGTGAGTTGTATGGGGCCTACAAAAACCTGTAGAGACCAGGCCATCTGAAAACAATCAGCTCTCACAATGAGCCTTTATGAGGTGTATTAATTTAAGGTTCTGGGAATAATAGAGAATTTTGGCTTGTGTTTTTTCATATGGTGTTCTCCCAGTTATTTTTAGTGTAAGGGTCTGAAAGTGAATTGCCATTTTTGAAGTATTGTTTGTACATTACCCATTTCATACAGAAACTATAACCTTGTTGCAAAAAAAAAAAAAAAAAAAGCGATTTTGACAGAGGAGTATTGGTCAGATGTTTTTATTGTATAATTAACAATGCTGCTCTGTAACAATGACTTTCAGTTACAAGCGAGTGACAACATATCACGGGTTAATGCCTTTTTTTTTCCTCCACCAATATGACACATCCTGTAAAAGGAGACTCAGGCACTGATAGACAGCATTGGTTCCAGGCTGGCTCTATATAGTTTTCTGTCTCAAATCACAATCCAGAAATGGTGCTGTGAGCAAATCGACAGAGGCTTTTCAAGGGCAAAATGTCAGTGGTGTAGGCAAACTACAGTGCAACTTTCCTAGGATCAAAATGGACGTGTATTCTGTAAAGAAATAGACTTCGTCCGAGCTCAGTGCAGAGTTCAGGCAGCCTCTGACTGCTGACAACCTGACTATTCAGCACTGCAGTGAGGAAAAGAAAGTTTACACCTCCGAGTTATGAGGAAATATTGTGTTAATGTTGCAAAACCAGAGACTTTTTACTTCTTAGACCAGCTTGTATCCTCTTATCCATCGTGCCTGCCCCTCTCGCTATAGTAACTGTACCTCCCTTTGTTCTGTTTGAGGTTTTTCAAGGGTGTGGTCAACCAAAACCATCAGGAATAGGCAGGTCTGCACGGGGCATCTCAGATGTGTTCAGCGCTCGCTTCAGGCCCTACACCCCTGAAGAGAGGCCAACCACAGCAGCTGGAACGAGCCTGGATAGACTGGTAGGTATAGAAGCAAGACAAGAACCTTAACGCTAACATATACTATATATTTTTATATATAATATTGAAAAAAAAAGTAAACTAGCAATCATAATTAACCACAAAATGCAAACAAGTAACAAAGTCAGGTTCTTCAATAAAGATCAGTTGTATAAAAAAAACAATTAATCCTTAAAACAAATTCCTTCCTTAAAGCCTAAGTAACGCTAAAGTCTTAATATATGGTGATTTTTTTATTAAAAATGTCTCAATTCAACTTGTTAAAGATGCTGAACACTCTTCTTTTCTTTTAACAGCTCTACTGATTTTCAGAGCTGTATAGAAGTAGGTTTTTGAAATATTACTGGCGGAGGCAGACTCTGTGGAGGCATGCTGAGCTTAAGGTCGACTTACCAGGGCTCAAGTCCAAAGGCCAGAAAAAATAGAGGCATGTTAGTGTAGTCCATATAGCCGCCAGGAGCTGTGTGACTTCCACCAGTGCTGTACTCAGAGTTAAAATATACTTCTGTTTCTAACACTCACTGCCAGTGGCTGCAGAGACCTCACAAAAGCACATGCCTACATGGACATGTTGCTCAATATTTATTCCTCGGAGTGTGTATGACTGCAGGACAATAGCAGACACATTTATAACAGACTACTAAATGTATATAATGACAAAAATGGCCGATGCCTTATCCCTTTATCTGTATTATGTCGAGTCTGCAACTGATTCAATAACCACCCACCGAAGTTCAAGATAAGGAAAAATCGGAAGACATTAATTGAGGCTATAAAAAGGTCTATCGCGCCGCACCATGCTATCGAGACACATTGTGTAGGAGGTTGTCAGTGTCAAGCCTCAGTATGGAGCAACACAGAAGTCCTCAAGTTGACACAATGTTGAAGCAGGACTCGCAGCCCACGAATGTTCATCTGTTCCCCTTTATGCCACAAACTACATTCTGCTGTGATGTCTCAATGTGCTCTGAAGAGCCAACAGAACATCACAATGTTAATATGATATCATACCCGTTAAAAGTGGAGTTACTGGCGTACACTTGACATGTTTAAGCAAAAGACTGGAATCTTCTTTACAAAGCATATATAACCCACAACTATGTTTTAAAGACCCTTTATAGAATGTTCTCTTTGTTGAATGATTTATGTTGTACAACAATAAATGTTTTGAACAGATTCCACTGAAAGACATTTCAGAGGAATAACAATTTCTTATGTGAGGACATGGAATGGATATCATTAAACTATACAATTTCATGAGTCCTTTAACCAATCCATTTAAAGAATGCTCCTTTATGTAATCCTCTGGCCAACTGGCAAATCCATTTATTAAATACATTATTGTTCTTTTACATAAAGGTACAGTTGTTCTCTTCTCTTCACTCTTCTCCTGTATAAATAGTTTGGATTAAAATAGAAAATATGCAGGAGCAGAGGCATGATTAAAGACTGTACTGACATTGTCCTTATAAGTAGTCTATACTAAAAATGCTAGCTGTAATTGTATGAAATAGCACATTAAATATATTCCAATGGCTGTGTGAACCACGAGCCTTTAAAATGTTATTCATTAATTCAGCATATCTTTGCATACAGGCCTTGTTTGGGGAAAAAAAAAATCTAATCAAATCCTCCTCTTTGCTGCATAACATGCGCATCAAAAAGAGTGTGAAAGGGGGAGAAAAAAAACTAAATGGAAAAAGCACATTTGGAAAAAATACACCAGTTTCGCTATCTTTAATATTTTATGTGTACATGCACTCAGGCTTACTACTTGTAAAAGATTAGAAAAATTCTAAGAGAAGTGAACTGGGTTGCTCAGGAAAAAATGTCTTGCTTCCTCAAATCTCACTCGTCTTAATCTGCACCTGCATTTCCTTTTGCAAATTTATGAAGCAAGTTAAGTAAAATATTGAATATAGAGTATCTGTGCCAGGCACTTAGGTATTAAATGAGTTTGTATGTTTTGTTAATCTTAGTTGATTGCATTGAAAGAAATAACTGCTGTTATTAGACCACTTCAGGCTGATTTGCCACATTACCCTGCTGCTTGTATGCACGTCTTGCTCCATGCATTGATCAGATTTGATAGCAGCAGATTTTTAAACTGATTTCGCGTTGGATAATTCATTGTGAATAAAATGGTCCGAGGTGCTAAATCTCATAGGCTGCTGAATTGAGGCACTACATCTCATAGGCTGGCAAACAGAATATTTCAGCAGGACCATTTATCATTTAACTTTTTGCTTCACCATCTAATAGACATTCTTTTTGCTGCTATTCTATCTCTCTGTCTCTCTTTTTCTCTGATGTCCAATTAAAGTTGTGTCTTCTTCATTTCTCTGCTGCTCCCAGAGGGTTGTGTGGAGGACAATGCAACACAGTGTAAGCCTTCCATTCCTCCTCCTACTTTCACTAAGTCATCTGTCTTGTGGTGTTTTAATCAACTTGCCCATTGCACTTCTCCGTCTTTACATTAGTCAAAGTTGATATTGATTGCTTCTTTGTGAAATATGTGTTTATTTAGTTTGCTTGAATTATTTGAGTTTCTTTGCAACTTTTCTGCAACTGAACTACAAGCTGCTGAATTGTGTTGTTTTTTGGGGGGTTTTTTGGTATTTTTTTGTCTCTCATTTTGTCTAAAATACTTTATATTGGCTGCATAGTGGTTCAGTCGTTAGAGCTTGCACAGCAGCAAGAAAGCTGTACATTTGAATCTCTGCCATCATTCCTGCTGCTTGAATTTTGAACACTCTGCATTTCCTTCAGGTTTTTCTACCATTCAAAGACATGGAGCTCAGTTTTTGTGTGTGATAAGTATATTTT